ATCCAGAGGTTGTGAGAGGAGTCTTTCCCACACCACTTAACAAGGAAGTAAGTGCCGCGAGGAGAGGTTTCATGGGACAGAATTTTCTCAACTTCAGAGAGATCAGGTTTGGATGTGAACATAGGAGGCCGAGGAGGTAGAGGTAGGAGGGGGAAATGGGCTGGAGGAATGTGGTAGGGACGTAGCAGCTGAACGTGAAAAACAGGGTGTATGTTGATGTGTGGTGGAAGTTTCAAACGGTAGGTGAGAGGAGAGAGAACTTGGGTGATGGTGAAAGGGCCGATGAAACGAGGTGCAAGCTTACGAGTGAGACCTTTCTGCAGCAAGGGAAGGTTTGTGGTGGAAAGAAGGACTTGGTCACCTACGTGGAACTGAATGTCACGACGGTGTTGATCAGCGTACCGGATCATTCGGTGTTGGGATTTGAGCAAGGAAGCGCGTGCTGCTGCGATGGTATTTTCCCGAGTGGAGAGGAATTCGGCTGCTGGTTTGGTGTCACTGCTGCGTACGAGAGAAGCCGGTGTACGGGGCTGCTGCCCTGTAGCGAGGAAGAAAGGGGTTTGTCCCGTGGCGAGGTTCACCGTGTTGTTGTAGGAGAATTCGATTGATGGCAGGTGCTGGTCCCAATCGTTTTGCCGTGCACTCACGCATGCACGCAGGGCATCTTCAAGGGTTCGATTCATCCTCTCGGTCTGCCCATCGGACTGAGGATGGTAGGCAGTGGAGAGACGAATCTTGGTGCCCAATCTGTTGAAAAGGGACTGCCAAAATCTGCCAACAAACCGAGAGTCACGGTCACTAATTAGTACGGAAGAAATGCCATGGAGACGTACTACCTCGTTGAAGAAGAGATCAGCGACGTTCTCAGCTGTAGCGGTGGTGGAGGTAGGGAGGAAGTGTGCCATTTTGCTGAGCTTGTCTACCACTGTGAGGATAGCGTTGTGATGGGAGGAGGTGCGGGGCAGATCTGCGATGAAGTCAAGTGTCACATGGGTCCATGGGAGCTGAGGGATTTCCAAAGGGTGTAGGAGGCCGTAGGGTGCTGCATTGCGAGCCTTGTTGCACTGGCATGTGTGGCAGCTGCGTACGTAGGAGCGGACATCTCGAGAGAGCTTGGGCCAGAAGAAGCTGGAAGAGATGGCAGCAAGCGTTTTGTCCACTCCGAAGTGCCCATTCTGGTCATGATGCTCACGTAGCAGGAGATGACAAAGCTTGCGCTCTGCGGGGACGCAGATGACTCGGGAATCTGCCTTATACCAAAAGGGGGATTCGTAGAAGACAGATTTATCATCAGCAGCAGAGTAGAGATAGAAACGGTCACGACGATACCCTTTGGTGAACTTCTTGATGAAATTTTGATCCCATGTGATGCTTCCGATGGTGGTGAGCTGAGGTTGAGGAGGCTGGGTCAAGGAATCAGCAGGGTTGAGGCGGCCAGCGCGGTACTCGATTTTCAGCTCCGGTACGTACTGTTCCAGGTACTCCATCCATCGGGCCTGCCTCGGGGTGAGATGGGGCTGCGTCTTCAGGTATTGCAGGGTGCAGTGATCGGAAAGAACAGTGACGGGCTGCATGTGAACATAGCAGCGCCACTTCTTGATTGCATGGACGATGGTCAGCGCCTCGCGATCGTGAGTAGCATAGTTGCACTCGGCAGGTTTGAGTTTCCGGGACTCGAAGGCGATAGGCTGAAGGCCATGCCCTTGATCTTGACAGAGAATTGCACCCGTTGCAACCTGAGACGCATCTGTCCATATCACGTAGGGAAGGGAGGGGTTGGGTAGGGCTAGAGTAGGAGAAGAGGTTAGTGCACACTTGAGAGCATTGAAGGCAGTTTGCTGGTCAGAGTCCCAATGGAATGGTTCACTCTTGCGAAGGAGGTTGGATAAGGGAGAGGTGATGGCAGCAAAGTGTCGAATGAACTTGCGGTAGTAGTTGGCAAGACCAAGGAAGGCTTGCACTTCCTTGATAGAGGTTGGCTCCTTCCATTCTCTGATGGCTTGGACTTTGGAAGGGTCCATAGCAAGCTGGTTGTGTGAGATGATGTGGCCCAAGAAAGGAATCGAGGGCCTGGCAAACTCACACTTGCTCTGTTTGGCGAAGAGACGATGCTCACGAAGTCATGTGAAGACTTGCCTTAGATGCTCGGCGTGTCCCTTCAAGGATTTGCTATAAATCAGAATGTCATCGATGAAGATAATAACAAACCGGTCCAAGAAATCCCGAAAGACACTGTGCATCAAGGACATGAAGGTGGCAGGGGCATTCGTTAGTCCGAAAGGAAGCACGAGAAACTCGAAATGCCCATACCGTGTTCGAAAGGCGGTTTTCTCGATGTCTTCGTCAGCGACACGCACTTGATGGTAACCGCTTCGTAGGTCCAGCTTGCTGAAAATTGTGGCCTCACCAAGTTGATCAAAAAGTTCTTCCACTCGAGGTAGCGGGTAGCGATTCTTGACGGTGATTTTGTTGAGCGCACGGTAGTCAACGCACATGCGCATGCTGCCATATTTCCTTTTTACGAAGAGAATCGGTGCTGCATAGGGAGAGGAGCTGACGCGGATGAAACCTTTCTCAAGGAGTTCCTCCAACTGCTTCTGAACTTCTTTCAGCTCGGCAGCACTCATCCGGTACGTAGCGCGAACGGTAGGTTCAGCATCGGGTTGCACGCTTCGAAGGAAGTGAAGAGGGAAGATCAGCAGGGAAGGTGTCTTTGAACTCATTGACAACCTGTTGAATTTCAGAAGGGATTTCAGCAGTCTTGGGAGGGGAAGGGAGAATAGGATTTTCTGAATTTTGATTCAAAAAACGGAGGAAGAATTGAGAGCTTGGGTCATTGAGAGATTTTTTCAGCTGCCGTTTCGAGAGGATGTCGCAGCAATTAGAGGTAAAGGAGGAGGAGGAGAAGGTAGGTAAGGTGATGTCTCTTCCAGAGTGAGAGATGGTGACGGTTCCAAGGGTCCAATCGATTTTGGGATTTTTTAGCGAAAGCCAGTCACGTCCAAGAATCACTTCATGGTCTCCAAGAGATGCCTGCTGAAATTGAATCTTGTCTTTGTAGGGTCCAATGGTGCATGAAACAGGAAATGGTACTCGTCCACATGAGATTGAGGTTCCGTTCGCCATCAACACTGTTTGAGGTAGGGAATCAGTTTGAGTTGGGAGGGAAAGCTTGGAGAGTAGAGAGGAGGAGATGAAGCTAGAGGAAGCACCACTGTCAAGTAGGGCTTTCACTTTCTGACCGCGAATCAGCATAGAAAGGAGAAGGGGTTCAGAGGGGTTACGACTTTCAAGAGAAGAGATAGTGGGGCAGGTATAGTCACCAGAAAGTTGCCCCGAGTTTACTGACGGCTTGAGTTTCCCGACGTTGGAAGGATGGGGGGCAGATTGGTGCGTTGGCAGCATACTTTCCAGATGTGCCCTTTCTTGCCGCACTTGTAGCACACGACGGCTGGCCTCGGGTTTCTCTTCCTCTTCTCCATTAGGTCCAGGTCCATAGGAGCAGATTCTTGAAGATTGGAGTCCGTTGTTGTAGAGGGCTGGTAGGAGGGAGCAAACGGGAGGAACGGGCTACCAGGAAAGCGAGGCTTGTTGTATGTGTAATGAACAGAATCATACCGTTCAGCCACGCGTAGAGCAGTCCCTCAGCTCGACCTCCATCCGCACGTTCGTTTTCAGCCCGCGCTTGAAACGATCCATCCGTTCAGCATCGGAAAGGTCCGGGATCTCTTGAGCGATGTCACAGAAGCGAGAAGCGTATTCTTGAACAGATTTGAGCTGCTTCAGAGTAGCCAAGGAGTCTCGTGCTCGGATGTTCGGGTTCACCGGTTGAAAGGTAGCAGTGAAGATAAGCTTGAATTGATCCCATGATTGGATGGTCGCATGCACGGATTGCCACCAGGTGATAGCAGATCCACAAAGAAGGGTGCCAGTGAAAGCAGTCCACTCGGCAGGTAGTATGTGACTTAGGAGCAGGGATTGCTCAACAAGAAAGAGCCAACGGCTCACGACTGGTTGGTTTCTCCCGGGAAAGAAAAAATCAGGAAGGGCGGGTCTAGCGCGCTGATTTCCGTCTGGCGGTGCAGCAGGGTTCGAGGTTGCTGCCGCCGCTCCAGCTGCAGCTACACTAGCTTTCATCTCTGCTTGCAAGCTCTCTCTAACTTCAGCAACAAGTTGGGCTCGGTACGTTTCCAAGTAGCTAGCCCATTCATCACGAGAAGGTACCTTACTAGTCGTCATGACGCTGTTCTTAAGAAAAGGAGGATCGAAGATAGCTCGGATACCAAATGGAACAGCCACTAAGCTGTTTTGGCAGAGTAGTAGTAGTAGTAAGTGCTCTTAGGAGAATTTAAGAGAGCTAGTAGCAAGATAGCTTTACAAGAGATCATATGATGGCTTACATTTCAGAGGTACATCCTATTATACTAGGATACTAGCTATGGCGCCTCAAGCAGGTCGCTCAGGTCGCCATTCACCTTCCTAGAGCTAGGAACAGCAAGGCAAAGCATTTATTATTATGTACATAGCATCCTAGCCTTGTTGTCTAGTCCTAGAACCAATCAGCAAAGTCTGGGAAAACACTAATGTAATGGGCAGAGATTTCTTTGTCTTGTTGTCTTCCAGGTCGTCGTTGATCATGATGAGTACGGGCACTGCTGGAAGGAGTCGTAGCTGTAGGGTCTTGTGCTGTCAAGTAATCTGCTGCGCTATAGGTATTCTCTGCCCCGTTGTGTCCAGCACTAGTGTGCTCTCTGTACTTTGTTCCCACGGTTGGAAACTCAGAAAGTCGGGTCGCACATTTCAATGTTGGAGTTCCAACATTGAATTCCCGAAATGCACTTAGGGTGTGTTCCGAATTCTGGTTCGGATCACAAGGAGCTGAGTTGGCGAAATCGAGGAAGGTGAGATCGCCTTCGTCTTGTTACAGGGCGGCGGTGGAGACGATTGCGCACGAGGCGGCGACGCTGGCGGGCAGCATTCCGCGGCGCCCGCGTTTGAGCATGGAGAACCCGCAGCTCAAGGCGAACGCGCAGATGCTCGAGACGCAGCAGACGCGAATCGCGGCTGACGTGGGCGTGACATCAGACCGCATCGTGTACAAGTACGTGGGGTGAGACTGTCACGAGTAAGGCCGGAACCAGCAGCTCGCATGTTTGAGAGCCCTGGTTACATCATGATAACTCCCCACATCATTCGGGGGGCACCGCAGCACTAATTTTGATGCGAAATTGAAGGCGTTGGGGCCAAAATTTACCCGTAAACCAAGCTGATTTTGGAAACCCACAAACTTCATGCTCAAACTTGCCCCTCGACCGTACTACCCAGCCTTCCCTCACCTTCCCTCCTCCATCACTTCCCCTCACCCCCCTTACTCCCCTACCCTTCCCCCCTCCCCCAGCTACATGCACGTGAGCAACGGCTTCGCAGCCACCCTCCCCGCAGCAGGTGCGGCGGCTGCAGCGGCACCCGGCAGTGGCGGCAGTGATGCGCAGCTGCAGTGTTACGCCGCTCACCATCGACTCCCCCACCTTCCTCGGCATGCGCGGCCCCGGGTCCCTGTGGCCCGCCAATGGCGGGCAGACAAATTTGCCTTAAGGCGGGCGAGGGGATGGTGGTGGGCGTGGTGGATTCGGGCATCTGGCCCGAGCACCCCTCCTTCACCGATGCCGCCTTCCCCTCCTCGTGCCCCGCTGGCTGGTCGGGCAAGTGCGATGCGACGAGCGAGTTCAAGTGCAACAACAAGCTCATTGGCGCGTGGGGGTTCTACAAGGGCTTTAAGGAGGACACCGGTGGCCCGGACCTGTCGAAAGACTGGCTGTCGCCTCGCGATTCGTACGGCCATGGCACGTGGTGTGCAGGGTACGTGGTGTGCAGGGCACGTAGTGTGCAGGGCACTTGGTGAGCAGGGCACGTGGTGTGCAGGGCACGGGGTGTGCAGGGCACGTGGTGTGCAGGGCACGTAGTGTGCAGGGCACGGTGGTGAGCAGGGCACGTGGTGTGCAGGGCACGTGGTGTGCAGGGCACGTGGTGTGCAGGGTGCATGGTGTGCAGGGTACGTGGTGTGCAGGGTGCATGGTGCAGGGTACGTGGTTTTGCCTAAATCTTCATGTTGAATCTGAGATGATCAACTGGATCCCACCCCTGACACCTCCTCAAACTGCCTCCCGGGCCACTTGTGAGCCGGATGCTTCTATCCATCTCTCACCTCGCCACTCCCCCCCCTCCTCCACCCCACTTGAGATCCTCCTCATTTGTGAGAAGCTTGTTACCTGCTTATGAGACGTTTATTCCCCATCTATCCTCTACTGTGCAGTGCAGCAGCGGGCAACAGGGACGTGGCCATGGCGGGCGGCAGGGCGAGTGGCATGGCGCCAGCAGCGCGCATGGCGGTGTACAAGGTGCTGTGGTACGCGGAGGGCTCCTTCTTCGGCGTGCAGGCGGACGTGGAGGCGGCAGTCAACCAGGCCGTGGCGGACGGCGTGGATGTCATCTCGCTCTCGCTGGGCGGCATGGATGCCACCGACACCTACTTCCACCACATGCCGTACCTCGCTGCTAGCCTCGCGGGGGTGCTTGTTGCGTTCGCAGCGGGCAACGGTGACGCGCCGGGCTATGACCCAAGCGGTTACCGCATGATTGAGAACTTCTACCCGTTCTACCTCACAGTGGGGGCAAGGTGAGCCGCCCTCTCCCTCCCTTCCCTCTTACCACCTCAAGAGCGGATGAGCAGGTAATCACATCAAGGTTTGCTCGTGGTGTGCCATGTGGGCAGCTTCACTACCCTCACTGCTCAACATCCCTTGCCACCACTCTGCTTCCTCGAGTACTCCGCCAATAATAACTTCCGGGCTTTTCCTCTTCTCTCCTCCCTCTCCTCGTTCTCTTCCCTTCCCCTCCTCCCACCTCCCTCGACCTCCCTGCAGCACCATTGGGCGAGGCGGTATAACCCTGAAGGCTGCTGCACTGGCAGGTGCAGCTCGCAGCAACACATCATCTGTCTCAACCACCCCTGCAGCTACAGCCTACCCGTCCGTTGCCGATTTCTCCTCCACCGGACCCCTCAGGGACCCTTCCACTAACGCCACCGCCACCCTCCCCACGAACAGCATTTTAAAGCCCGACATTGTCGGCCGGCTGAGAAGGTGGGGAGGCCAGGGAGCTACGCGTAGCTATCAGGGACGTCGATGTCAACGCCTCACTTGGCGGGCATTGCTGCTCTCATCATGCAGAAGCACCCCTCGTGGAGCCCCGCGCAGGTCATGTCCGCCATCATGACCACCGCCAAGACCACTGACACCAGCGGTGCTGCCATCGATAATGGCTATGGTGAGGCTGCTACTCTGTGGGAGATGGGGTCTGGCCAGGTGTTCCCACCCAAGCTGCTGGATCCCGGGCTCACATACGACGCCCGGGCAGCTGCTTATCGGAACTTTCTAGCTGGGCAGAGTATGAAGCAAGCAAAGAAGCACTTCCCATGAGCTAGGCTTACGGCGGTTGCTCCCCGTGAGTTGAACCGTCCAAGCATCTCAATGGCCCGACTGAAAGGGGCGGCGACAGCAAACAGGACGGTCACAAACGTTGCTGACTCCTCATCCACATATACAGCTAGCATCCGGCCTCCTAGTGGAGTCTCCATCACAGTTTCACCCAACAAATTCACAACTGCTCCGGGTAAAAGGGTAACCTTCATGGTGACGTTCAAAGTGATAAACACGTCTGAGAGCTTCCAGTTTGGAAGCCTAACATGGGTTGATGGTAAAGGGCACTCTGTGAGAACAGTGCCTTGCGGTTCAACCCATCAAGAAGTGACCTGGCATGTACAATCGTAATGCAAAATAGCTGGTGTAGCACATTCGTGGGTTGGGTTGCTATTACGATCTATGTTGGTCAATGGCTGCAGCGTGTGCAGCATTGTGTGTTTGTGCAACACTGAACACATCATCTTCTTGCCACAGTCCTGGCGCTACTTGCTTGCCACTACCGCATTGTGCATTCCTTTACGGCCTGGCTGGCTGTGTTTCTCACAATGACTGGTGGTACTGCGTGCAGTGTATGCAGCCCCAGAAGCAGAAACGATTTCTATTGCACGGTTTTGCCCTGAGAAAAGCATGCAGTTCCACCGTACTAGACCATTCTTAATGTTTTGTAAGGGTGATATACTGTACCACATTTTTTACAATGATATACCGTATTCCCCCGGATAATAATGTACCCCCCCTAGAATAATGTACCCGGGTCTTTAATACGGGGGGGGGGGGGGGGGGGGGGGGTATATTATTCAAGACCGTTTTCCTTATACCCCCCTTTTGGGGTGAAAACATTATAAGACCCCCCCCCCCCAACTTTGAGAGTATTTTTTTGAGGCAAATTCATGTGAAAATAGCAAGCAGAGGCACATCTACGGCCTCTGGAGTCACAAATCACAAATAAGGCAGCATCTCAACACCCAACTAGCCCCACTATTCACCCACCACCTTGGAATCCGCCCCCACCTTATTACTCATCTTCGTCACCCGCCACCCACTCATCTACCTCTGCCCCCTCATAGCGACCAGGGGCCCACCATTCATCCCCTTCGTCGCTCCACTCGTCAGCTTCGCCCGCCTCTCCATCGTCGGACTCGCTCAAGTCTGACTTAGCAGGTACAGCCTCCGCATCGGCTTCGTCAGCTTCAGTGGCCAGCACGGCCTCCTCCTCCATCTCGACGGTCACATCGGGAGGGGTGACCACGGGGGCCGGGTAGAACGGGTTGGGGAGAAATTCATCCTGCTCCTCCTCCATCACGTCTTCCAGGACCTCCACCTCGCCGGAATCCCGCATGTGCGCCAGGATCAGATGATCCTGGCTCCCGTCCGCGGTGTTGGAGATTCCGCAGGTGAGGAATGCTTTCCTCACCATCTCCTCGGGAACGTCGGCCCACGACTCGTCAATCCATTTCAGGATGAGTTCAGCCGGCGGTTTCTTCAGATTGCCTGTGGGTGAGGGCGGAGGGAATGGGAGTGGAGTGTGTATGGTTGTGTGATTCATCAGTTCATACACATACAAACGCGGGCATCTCCTCGTACACGGCCTCACCTGCGGGCGTTGTGTTGGTGATCCCGTCCTCCTCGAACCAGTTGCCGTAACGGTGGCGGACGCCCGCCTTGAAGGCGCGGTTGATTGACACATCTAGCGGTTGCACAAGCGGTGTGCAACCGCCTGGGATCACCGCGCGTGTCAGCCTAAAGAGACGCATAGTCTGGCCGACACCTTCGGTGAGATGTCCTCTGTAGGAGTCTAGGACGAGGAGGACGTCCTTCCGCCTGCCTCCCTCGTCGCGCAGGGGCCTCATGAAGGGGACGAGGACTTGGGTAGTCCAGTCCTGGACGAGGTTTTCGTCCATCCATCCCCGTGACTGCGCCCGGATCACGACACCTGCACACGCACGTAGCTTGTTAGTCGCATGCAAGAGGGTACGTGAAACATGCGCAACGGCCGTATCGACTCACCTCGGGGAACGGCGACCTTCGGGACTGTCTTGTGCTTGAACACCACATACGGCGGCAATTTCAAGCCGCTTGCCGTCACCGCCAGCATAACGGTGAGGCGTTCCTTCTCGTAACCCGCGGTACGGACGTGCACCGTGCGCGCCCCCTTCATCTCCAATGTCCGTTCCTGCGGCATCTCCAAGAAGAGGGGCGTTTGATCGGCGTTAACGATCAGATTGTCGGTGTAGGAGTTAAGGACTTGCATCTGCCGAACAAACTCCCAGAAGGATTCGACCTTCGCCTTCAAATCTGCAAGGGGAGAGTTGACAAAAATTGTTAGTTGAGGAACATCAAGGATTACACACACGACACATGAAGGAGGCCGGGGGCAAAAAAAACAACACAACAGCAAAGAGACTCACTGTCTGCAAGCTTTTGCCCCATCTTTGTCTTAACACGCTTCGCCAAGGACCACCGCACGCGGAAGCGGAAGGTCCAACGTTTAGATCCGCGCCAGTCGGCCTGAGGGTGCCGGTGCTTCATGTACTACCGCGACCACTTCAGAAGCATGCTCACTGAGACGGCCAGACCCTTGGCACGGTGCGCCAAGAACTGCCAGTAGATGGCCCTCTCCATGAAAGGCCACTTTGCCTTACGGCCTCCGCCAACGAGGCGACGACGACAAGCCGCTGAAACAAGGAGGTGCTCCTTCAACTTCCGCCATTCGCGAATCTGCTTTGGTTGCAAGTTAGCCAGCCTCGCCAGCCCCCGGATGCTGAGATCGGGCTGCGTGTCTAGCATATCCAGCCAGTACAGTTTCTCCCTCGCCGTGTACGCATGCCACGCCTTCTTCGTCATTCGGTGGCGAGGCGAGGGGGGCGCTGCATCCTGAACCTTGTTCTTCTTGCCTTGCAGGCGAGAAGACTGCGGAAAGACGGGGACACGGACCGTGGGAAGGGGGGCCCGTGGGGTACGGCTGCTCTGAGAAGTCTCACTTGAAGACGATACTGGCGCAGGCAGGACAGGACGCGGCGTCGTCCTAACACGAGCAGGCGTACGGACTGGTGTTGCACGAGGGCGGCGTGATTCTGACGTGCCTGAATCGGGCGATGTCACCATGGTGAGGCGATGTTTCTGCCTCATGCGATGCATCCCTATCATCTAGCAACGCTATTTTAATCTGCCTTGTACGGCCCGCTATCCTAGACCCTGCCGAGCTACTCTCCCCATTGCACAGAGGTTGGTCCGTTGGCAGGCGTTGTCAAATTCGCTTCAGCACTAGACGTGACAACGACAGCGCGACTCTGTGGAGAGAGTTTCACGTAGCATGCAAGGGATGAGACGACCGAGACGGTCTGACACAATGCACTGGACGTGGTACACGTTGGTCGCCTTCCAATCGATAATGCTGGTAACCACTGAAAATGGGCCAATGAGCATGAAGCATTGTGATGCTTCATGGATTGTACCCGTTTTCTCGGCTCAGGACATTCGCGTGCTGTTTCCTTGATTTAAAAACGCAGTTCTGCATTACAACGCCCTTGCATTTCATTATATTTTAAAAATCATAGCACTTATGTTAAGACCCGGGTCTTATAGGTTTTTACAATTTAATAAGACCCCCCACAGAAATTTGTGAAATCAATAACAGCCCCTAGGGTCTTTTATCCGGGGGAATACAGTACCATGAATCTTGTTGTGCAGAGCATCGGATCTAGACCCGCAGAGGAAGACAGAAGCTACAGGGCGTCAAGGACGGTCTTGTGAGCGCGCACGCATGCAGTGGTGCAGTAGTTGAAGGCGAGGCGGGAGAAGGGCGTCCTGCCCGCCAGCGATGCTCCACACGAGTCGCAGCAGCTGCCTGCAGCAGTGGTGGCGGGGGAGGCATGGTGGGCCGTGGCAGGCGCAGCGGTGCCCCCGGCCAGCTGCTGCACACGCCTCTCCGCCGCTGCTGCCCTCTCCTCCCTCTCCCTCGCCCTCCTCTGCTCCTCCTGCACACCACACAGCACAGCACAGATACGGTACATGCGTGCAGGCGCGTCACCAAGCCACGGAACAAAATCGTCAGCATTTGCATGAGTGGCTGCAGGAGGCTTGAGCAGGCAGTGGTTAGACTCAAGGCGACACAGTGACCGGAGGCACGTGCAGTGCAGCACATGGAGGGCGAAAGGAAGCACGCAGAAAGGGAGAGGAAGGCAGCATGGAGGCATGCGCCTTACAGTCTCTGCAGGCGATGCGTGTGTCGGCGATGGCGCTGGTGGCGCGCTCTGGTGGAGGGCTTGCTGCTGCTCGGGGCACGGGGTTGGTGGGGGGAGGGGTGAGGGGCGAGGCACGGTTGTACACACAGAGATGCGTTGCAAGGACGGGAGAGAGGTGCACGGATGAGGATGGCGGAAGGAAGGGAAACAGGCATGAGGCATCAGGGGGGAGGAGTTTACATGAGAATGGTTGTGCTCTTGATTAAGGAGGTTGGGGCAGTGCGATGAGAGCAAGGGGAAGGCTGATAGCAGCAGTAGCGGGTGGAGCAACCCCCCACACCATCTATCCAGCCTAGACAGTGTGTGATTTAGACCACTAAGCATTCCCACCCTCCCCATCCCCACCTTGCGCTCTCTCTCCTCCTGCTTCTTCCTCTGCCTCCTCTCCTTCTCCTTTGCCTTCTTCTTCGCTTCCTTCTCCGCCTGCCAACCTCACCACGTGCACCAAGCACGGCAGCACGATGGGGAAGTGCAGGGGGGCAGGGAGGAGGTGCTGTCCAGTGAGAGCGAGGCCAATGCATCATGAAATGCGGCGAGCAGTGCATGGCATGGCGCATGGCGCATGGGGTATGGGGTATAAGGCATGGGGTATGGTATGGGGTATGGGGCATGGGGTATTGGGTATGGGGCATGGGGTGTGGCGACAGCATGACATCCTGGTCATTGTAGCAGGGAACTGAGTCTAGCCAATCAAAGCTCACTTGAGCTCAACTTACTCTAAAGTCGAGGTTCAATCTGGACAATACCGTAGTCTCTTTTGTCTGCAAAATATTCCAACGACATCTCGTCCCAAGGCTACCAGGCGTCCAAGCCCACTTGCAAGCCTCACCCACCGCGCTGCTCTGCTCTCATTCCTCTCCGCCACCATTCCCCCCCCCACCTGGCGGGCGGCCTGGGAGGCCTGGAGCTCTTCAGTGAGGGCGCTGGGCACAGCAGCGGCGTGCCAGTCCCACTGCTGCGGGTGGGCTGCCATGTGGCGGCGGAAGGCGTCCCGCGTGGCCTTGTTGGCCGCCACCACGTACGCCACTCGCCCCCTGCCGTCCCGCCCCGTGGGGTCACTGCCCTGCTGCAGCAGGCGAGCCACCTCCGCGTGGTTGCCTGCACGGGGAGAGAGGCGTGCATGGTCGCGGCACATGAATGCATGGTCGCGGCACATGAATGCATGGTCGCGGCACATGAATGCATGGTCGCGGCACATGAATGCATGGTCGCGGCACATGAATGCATGGTCGCGGCACATGAATGCATGGTCGCGGCACATGAATGCATGGTCGCGGCACATGAATGCATGGTCGCGGCACATGAATGCATGGCGTGGGAGGAGAGAGGCCGCACATAGGAGAGCGGCACCACAGGGCCATGCTCACTTGGATTGTATTCCCAAGTTGGGACACCATCGAGGTTCCCCCACCGCCAGCACTTTTTGGGGGTGGATGGTGTCCGTGCGGGGTGTGGTCTAGTTTAAACATGAGACTAAATTAGGCGTGCGACCAGGTTCGTCAGAATCGCCTGACGGTTGTTGGATCATGCCCAATCAGAGCGCGGAAACAGTAAACAGCCACATTTACTTGGGCGGCCTGGGAAAAACATTCACCATAGGCTCATTGGTTGTTGTTGGCAGATTTTTCAGGGTTCGTGACGGTCAAGATTGTAAGTTGAAGTCCGAAATTCCCCGATCGTCTATGTCGCATTTTGACCTGCGCATCAGGCGCACGTTACTTGACTGGTGTGTTGCTTGGTGTCCAGACTTGGGACCGCGTGGAGCAACATTGAAATTCCACGCTGATATTTCGAGTCGCGTGGGTGGTGTCCCAACTTTGGAATACAACCTTACTTAGAATGGGTGTGATGGGCGTGATGAGTGTGATGGGCGTGATGAGTGTGATGCAAATGCGGCAAACACACATGAAGCAAGCAATGCAGTCGTGCAGCCCAGTGAATCTTGCAGCACAGAGCACAGAGCAACACGTCTCTCACCATTAACCACCACACCCTCGCTGTGGCACCCACCTACCCACCCACCCACCTGCAGCAGCTGCCACATGGAGTGCCGTTCTCCCCCATCCTTGCCCCGCTGCCTCCTTCTCCTGCACCTCCCCTCCACTGGCCCCACTCGCCTCTCCTCTCTCCTGCCCTTCCCCATCTCCCTGCAACTCCACATGCCCATCTCCGTCTCTTCCTGTGTCCTGCATCCCGTCTTCCAGCCCCCTGTCTTCTCCCTGCACCGCCTCCCTTTGCTCTGCCCTTTCTTCCCGCGCCCTCACTGCCGCCACCCCCTTGCCGCCACCCACAGCACCCGATTCCCCTTCCCCACACTCCACTCCCGCCGCCCCGCCCTCTTCCCCCTGCGCCCCCCCCAGCACGTGCACGTGTGCCAGGGAGTGCGCCACGCGCAACGCCTCCTTGACGGTGGGGCGGCGCACGGGGAAGGGCACGCGCCGCACGCGCGGGTCGCGCGCCGCCAGCAACCCCGCCACAGCCCCCCCTGTGCCCCGACTAGCGTGAGCCTCTGCCGCGGTGCCGAAGAGTGCAGCGCGGTTGAGTGCGGTGGCGTGTACGAAGATGAACTGTGCGCGCGCCAGGTAGGGCTGCCAGTGCTGCAGCAGGGCTCGGATGTCCTGAGGGCGCGGGGGGAGGTGGGATCGGGGGGAGGTGGGATCGGGGGGGAGGAAGCAACAAGGTAGGGGGGCTGAATGAAGGGAATGAAAGCGGGTGAGGGTAGGAGAGCAAAACCAGACTTGCGGGAAAGGAGGGGAAGGGCAGACGGGCCCATAGAAGGAAAAGGAGACACCATTGCATTCACCATCTCCCGCTCATCGCCCCCCACCCCACCTTGACAAGAGCCGCCTCGTTGTAGCGCCTCAGACTGGCCCCCGCTGACTGCGGCGCTCTGCCCGCTCCGTCCCTCGTTGCCTGGCGCCCGCCCGCCTTGGCTCGCACCACATACCTGATGGGGGGCCAGCCGTGCACAGGGGCGGACAGGGGCGCACAGGGGCGGACAGGGGCGCACAGGGGCGGACAGGGGCGGACAGGGGCGGACAGGGGCGGACAGGTGGACGGCCAGCCGTGCACAGGGGCGGACAGGTGGACGGGCAGCCGTGCACAGGGGCGGACGGGCAGAGCAGTGCACAGGGGCGGACGGGCAGAGCAGTGCACAGGGGCGGACGGGCAGAGCAGTGCACAGGGGCGGACGGGCAGAGCAGTGCACAGGGGCGGACGGGCAGAGCAGTGCACAGGGGCGGACGGGCAGAGCAGTGCACAGGGGCGGACGGGCAGAGCAGTGCACAGGGGCGGACGGGCAGAGCAGTGCACAGGGGCGGACGGGCAGAGCAGTGCACAGGGGCGGACGGGCAGAGCAGTGCACAGGGGCGGACGGGCAGAGCAGTGCACAGGGGCGGACGGGCAGAGCAGTGCACAGGGGCGGACGGGCAGAGCAGTGCACAGGGGCGGACGGGCAGAGCAGTGCACAGGGGCGGACGGGCAGAGCAGTGCACAGGGGCGGAGAGGTGGACGTGGGTGGAGAGGGGAGGGGGAGTGGGGTGCAAGGAGAGGTACAGTGACGTCAGCCATGGGCAGCTCCCCACCAGTCCATGTCACACGGCTCCTCCTTCCCGTCTCACATCCCCCCCACGTCATTCCCACTGTCACGCCCAATCCCGCCCCGCCACCCATGCATGTGTGCCCCACCACCCATGCATGTGTGCCCACCATCCATGCATGTGTGCCCCACCACCCATGCATGTGTGCCCCACCACCCATGCATGTGTGCCCACCACCCATGCATGTGTGCCCCACCACCCATGCATGTGTGCCCCACCACCCATGCATGTGTGCCCCACCACCCACGCATGTGTGCCCACCACCCATGCATGTGTGCCCCACCACCCATGCATGTGTGCCCACCACCCATGCATGTGTGCCCCACCACCCACGCATGTGTGCCCCACCACCCACGCATGTGTGCCCCACCACCCACGCATGTGTGCCCCACCACCCATGCATGTGTGCCCCACCACCCATGCATGTGTGCCCCACCACCCATGTATGTGTGCCCCACCACCCATGCATGTGTGCCCCACCACCCATGCATGTGTGCCCCACCACCCATGCATGTGTGCCCCACCACCCACGCATGTGTACCCACCACCCATGCATGTGTGCCCCACCACCCATGCTTGTGTGCCCCACCACCCATGCATGTGTGCCCCACCACCCATGCATGTGTGCCCCACCACCCATGTATGTGTGCCCCACCACCCATGCATGTGTGCCCCACCACCCATGTATGTGTGCCCCACCACCCATGCATGTGTGCCCACCACCCATGCATGTGTACCCACCACCCATGCATGTGTGCCCCACCACCCATGCTTGTGTGCCCCACCACCCATGCATGTGTGCCCCACCACCCATGCATGTGTGCCCACCACCCATGCATGTGTGCCCCACCACCCATGTATGTGTGCCCCACCACCCATGCATGTGTGCCCCACCACCCATGCATGTGTGTGTGCCCACCACCCATGCATGTGTGTGTGCCCACTACCCATACATGTGTGCCCCACCACCCATGCATGTGTGCCCACCACCCATGCATGTGTGCCCCACCACCCATGCATGTGTGCCCCACCACCCATGCATGTGTGTGTGCCCACCACCCATGCATGTGTGTGTGCCCACTACCCATGCATGTGTGCCCCACCACCCATGCATGTGTGCCCACCACCCATGCATGTGTGCCCCACCACCCATGCATGTGTGCCCCACCACCCATGCATGTGTGTGTGCCCACCACCCATGCATGTGTGCCCCACCACCCATGCATGTGTGCCCGCCACCCATGCATGTGTGCCCACCACCCATGCATGTGTGCCCCACCACCCATGCATGTGTGCCCACCACCCATGCATGAGTGCCCCCCCACCACCCATGCATGTGTGCCCACCACCCATGCATGTGTGCCCCACCACCCATGTATGTGTGCCCCACCACCCATGCATGTGTGCCCCACCACCCATGCATGTGTGCCCACCACCCACGCATGTGTGCCCCAAGACCCATGCATGTGTGCCCACCACCCATGCATGTGTGCCCACCACCCATGCATGTGTACCCACCACCCATGCATGTGTGCCCCACCACCCATGCTTGTGTGCCCCACCATCCATGCATGTGTGCCCCACCACCCATGCATGTGTGCCCACCACCCATGCATGTGTGCCCACCACCCATGCTTGTGTGCCCCACCACCCATGCATGTGTGCCCCCCCACCACCCATGCATGTGTGCCCGCCCACCACCCATGCATGTGTGCCCACCACCCATGCATGTGTGTGTGCCCACCACCCATGCATGTGTGTGTGCCCACCACCCATGCATGTGTGCCCACCACCCATGCATGTGTGCCCACCACCCATGCTTGTGTACCCACCACCCATGCATGTGTGCCCCACCACCCATGCTTGTGTGCCCCACCACCCATGCATGTGTGCCCCACCACCCATGCATGTGTGCCCACCACCCATGCATGTGTGCCCCACCACCCATGCATGTGTGCCCACCACCCATGCATGTGTGCCCCACCACCCATGCATGTGTGCCCCACCACCCATGCATGTGTGTGTGCCCACCATCCATGCATGTGTGCCCCACCACCCATGCATGTGTGCCCACCACCCATGCATGTGTGCCCCACCACCCATGTATGTGTGCCCCACCACCCATGCATGTGTGCCCCACCACCCATGCATGTGTGCCCCACCACCCATGCATGTGTGCCCCACCACCCATGCATGTGTACCCACCACCCATGCATGTGTGCCCCACCACCCATGTATGTGTGCCCACCACCCATGCATGTGTGCCCACCACCCATGCATGTGTGCCCCACCACCCATGCATGTGTGCCCACCACCCATGCATGTGTGCCCCACCACCCATGCATGTGTGCCCACCACCCATGCATGTGTGCCCACCACCCATGCATGTGTGCCCCACCACCCATGCATGTGTGCCCAACCACTCATGCATGTGTGCCCACCACCCATGCATGTGTGCCCCACCACCCATGCATGTGTGCCCCACCACCCATGCATGTGTGCCCCACCACCCATGCATGTGTGCCACACACACTTTCCCATCTCTCTCTCCTCCTGCAGGCCGCTTGCTCCCCCCAGGCCACGCACCGGTGGAAGGAGCGGTGGGCGAGCACGGCGCCGTGGGAGGCGGCGTCCACCACCACGGCGGCAAAGTGGCCGCCCGAGCTCAGCACCACCACCCACACGCGCTCCCAGCCTTGCCCCCCGTCGCCCCTCTCCTGACCCCCCGACTTCCCCACCAGCGTGCCTTCTCTCCCCGCCTCCACCTGTGCTGCACCCCCGCCTGCCTTGCCCCTCGCTGACTCCACCCCCCCACCCCTCTTGCTCCTTCCCCCATCCGTTTCCCCAGCCTCCGCGCTTCCGTCCCCCCCTCCTCTGAATGCTCCCCCATGCGCCGCCCCTGCGCCCTCCCCCAGCGCCACCAGCGCCTGCAGCAGATCTGCGCCCTCCTCTGGCAGGGGCAGGGCGGCAGAGGCGAGCAGCGGGAAGGGGAGGAGTGCGGGGGGAATGGGCAGGCAGGGGGAAGAGTGAGCAGTGCACAGCAGGGAACAATGGGGAGGTGAGCAGAGTGGGGGGAAGCACACACCTGGGGGGAAGAGCGTACCTGGGGGGAAGAGCGCACCTGGGGGGAAGAGCGCACCTGGGGGGAAGAGCGCACCTGGGGGGAAGAGCGCACCTGGGGGGAAGAGCGCACCTGGGGGGAAGAGCGCACCTGGGGGGAAGAGCGCAGCGCACCTGGGGGGGAGAGCGCACCTGGGGGGAAGAGCGCACCTGGGGGGGAGAGCGCACCTGGGGGAAGAGCGCATCTGGGGGGAAGAGCGCACCTTGGGGGAAGAGCGCACCTGGGGGGAAGAGCGCACCTGGGGGGAAGAGCGCACCTGGGGGGAAGAGCGCACCTGGGGGGAAGAGCGCACCTGGGGGGAAGAGCGCACCTGGGGGGAAGAGCGCACCTGGGGTGAAGAGCACACCTGGGGGGAAGAGCGCACCTGGGGGGAAGAGCACGCGCCAGAGGGCGAAAGTGACGCCCGTGTGGGGCAGCACGAAGTGCACCTTCGCCCCCCGCCCTGCCCCTGCCAGCTTCCCCTCCCCCTGCTGCTGCTGCCCCTCGTCCGCGTCCTCCCCTCCCTGCTCGTCCTCCGACCCTGAAATGCTCGACCAGTCATCGTCGTCTTCCCCCCCCTCTCCCCGCTCCTCTGCTGTCCCGCCCGCCCCGCTACTCACAGCAGCGCCGGCATCCGCACTGCCCTGCGTGCCCCGGCTCCTCCCCCCATTCCCCCCCCCTTCCCCCGCGCGCCTGGCGTCCAGCAGCGCCGCAAAGGCCTCCTCCGACAGCGCTGCGCGCCCACATGCCCGGCGCTTGACCTGGTGGGGGGCGAGGAGAGGGGGGGAAGAGGATGAGAGAAGCGGAGGGAAGGACAGGAGAGGAGAGGAGAGGAGGGGGAGCAGAGGAGAGGATAAGTGCAGATGACGGGGAAGGAGCGCAAAAGAAGGTGGGGTTATAGTGGCATGTAAGGCATGGGGGCAAAGGGGGCATGGGGGCAACGAGCATGGGGCAAGGGATGTGCTGGCAAGGGATGTGCTGGCAAGGGACGCGGCAGTAGTGGGTGGGGGCATGGTGGCATGGGGGTTTAGGGGACATGGTTGTATGGGGGCACTGGGGGCACGGGGTGGGGCCATGACATGGGGAACAGCAGGGCGGCGCACGTTGAGGCGGTGCCAGTCGCTCTTGAAGTGCGCGCGCTGCTCCGCCACGTCATCAAACGTCTCCCCGCAACTCCAACACGTCAGCCCTCGCCTCGGCCCGCCCAAGCCCTTGCTGCCGTCACTCGCGCCCCTCTCCTCCGCGCCCTCCGCGCACTGGGCGGCTTCAGTCCGACCGCCGTCCGACGGCGGAGCGGCTGCTTGGCGGCGCTGCGCCGGCGTCTCGACGCCCGCCGACTGCGTTGCCCCGCCAGGGCCTGGCGGAAGCGAGTCGGGAGCGGCGGAGGCGAGGAGGGCAGCGCGGAAGGGGAAGGGGCCCTTGGCGAACAGCGAAGGCGGAAGCGCTGCTCCCTCGGCGCCCTCACAAGGGGACGCGCCGGCGGCTCCGCGAAGCTGCGCCCGGCGTGAAGGATTGCTGGCCATGGCTGACGCTCAGGCACCCAACCTCCCAGAATTGCATCGTGCTACTGGTTTTGCATCTAAGGGCGCGTCAGACATCAAGTCATGCGGCCTTAGTCTCCAATTTGTCTCTTCCGAACTTCCAATCGCCCCCAAAACGAGCCACTTCGGGTCTTCCGAACCTCCACTTCGTGTCAAACCTAATGTCTGACACGGGATAGAAACACACCCTAAATTGTAAGGAATTTCCCTTTTCCTTACCGGGGTTGACTGCTACGCGTCAAACCCCAACATGGGCGGTGTTCGCTAGCACCAATAGAGCAAAAAACTATGGGATGATGACGGGATCAGGAAGGTGGGTCTCGCCTTCCTGATCCCGTCAGTTAGGGTTCGTTTACCTCCGTCAGCCTGGTCAGCCCGTAAATTAGGTGCCGAGCCTCCCCAACTGTCCAAACCTACAATCAAAGTGGGTGTCTAGCGAACACCCCCATTTGTCCACCAAAACGAACTGCTCGATGGCATATGGAAGCGGGGACGCAACTTCGTCCTCAGGCAAAGTTCTATTCCCAAGCCATGCCATCGCCATGCCGCGTTTTTCGAAGCACAGCGATGGCACAGCCGTCGCATTGCCGTTCAAAGGGGAACCTCTGAACAAGCCTGTTGTTTGACAAAGGGGGGTTCAAATACCCCCCATTTTTCCCCTCCCAAACACACCTTCGTAGTGCCTCCATTGGTCGAAATCGTTCGTTTTTTTATTTTTTATTTTGCGCTTGTTACCCTAGTTCGTTTTTGGCCCTCGGTCTGGCACTGGTCAGTGGCGCGTAAAATTCGCGCAACTAGATGAGGAAGGTGGGGCTGGGGGTTCCATATGCGGTTGTAAAATTTCCTGTTTTGGGGATTGAAGTTTCGTGGTGTCAGAACATTATAGCTTATATATTTGTGTAGGCTATATTGGGGTATCCCATAGGGGGTACAACCCAATCAGGGTTTCCTATATGTACTCACTTCATTCCTAGTTCATTCATTCTCGTTCTAGTTTCTTTCACATGGTTTCAGAGCGGTTACGCTCTCGGCCTGTGGGTACTACTGCTTCCGCTGCTACATGCTCTGTCGCACGCCCCGTGGCGTGCGACGCATTTTCAATCTCCACAGGAGCTGCGCGAGTGGTTTGCCCGGCGCTGGAGCCGTGCTGCTGGTGCTGGAGGTTCGTCGGCTACTGAGGGTGCTGCTGTCGCGGGTCCCGGAGGTGCTCATCCTGGGAGTACTGGAGCTGCTGGGCCTGCAGGTTCGACTGGAGCTGGTGCTGCTGAGGGTGTTGGCGCTGAGACTACCACTGGCGGTCCTGCTGGGGGTGCTCCTGGTGCTGCTGGAGGTTCTGGAGCTGCTGGAGGTGCTGCTGGGGGTTCTGGAGCTGCTGGAGGTGCTGCTGGAGGTGCTGGAGCTACTGGAGGTGCTGCTGGAGCGGGTACTCCTGCTGGGGGTCCTGGTGCTGTCCCTGCTGTATCTGGCGTCGCCACGCGGCCTCGACCGTACTTCGTTCCACTCCTGCAGCAGGTTCTTGGTCTTACACCTTCTACTGGTCCTCCTCCTCCTCCCTTAGAGGGTCCACAGCCTGTCCAGTCACAGTCACAGCTACAGCCTGCCTCCCCTTTGCCTGCTCCTTCTCCCTACGCTGGTCCTATTGGAGGTCTTACTGAGCGTCGTGAGCCTGCGTCTCGTCCTGCGTCGCCTGTTCGTGCTGCGCGCGCTAGTGGTCGCGGTTCGCGTCAGCGTCCTCCTCTTGTCCCTGGCACGCACCGGATGTCTCTGCGTCCGTCCACTGCTCCTCTACGTGCCCCTTTGCCTTCTCCTCCTGCGTCCTCTCTTCCTGCTCTTGCCGACCCGGAGTCGGACTCTCTTCGTGCTGCCAGTCCTACTGTCACGCGTCTCCTTGCTACTGCCGTCACTGACCCTTCTTTCGAGTCTACTGCTGCGTCTGCCCTTGTTACTGAGCTCGTCGACTTTGCTGCTCGCTGTCGCCTAGACTACGCTGCGAGTCTTGTCACTGAGTCTGAGTCTGTCTGTCCTCCGTCCGTCGGGGGTGAGTGTGCCCTTGGCACGGACGTCCTTGAGGACAGGCAGGAGGAGTTCCAGTGTCTCGCCGCTGCTTCACCTCATCTCGTGTCCGTACTGCTTACCCCTGAGGGAGACCCGGATGCACTTGACATCCCGACTCCGCGCTCTTACGCGAAGGCGATAGAGGGTCCCTACTCCTCTCAGTGGCAGGCAGCTATGGACGCAGAGATGGCTTCCTGGAAGTCCACAGGCACCTACGTTGACGCTGTCCCCCCTCCTGGGGCGAACATCGTCAGTGGCATGTGGATCTTCAGGGTGAAGCGGCCGCCGGGTTCTCCACCTATCTTCAAGGCGCGTTACGTGGCTCGTAACTTCAGTCAGCGGCAGGGAGTTGACTACTTTCAGACCTTCTCCCCTACCCCGAAGATGACCACTCTTCGGGTACTGCTGCACGTTGCTGCTCACCGTGACTACGAGCTGCACTCTCTCGACTTCAGCACTGCTTTCTTACAGGGCAGCCTGCACGAGGAGATCTGGCTGCGCCGCCCACCTGGTTTCACTGGGTCGTTCCCTCCTGGTACCCAGTGGAGTCTCTGGCGTCCAGTCTACGGTCTCCGCCAGGCGCCACGTGAGTGGCACGACACACTGAGGACTACACTGGCGGCACTTGGGTTTGCTCCTTCTACTGCCGACCCGTCGCTGTTTCTGCGCACCGACACCTCTCTGCCGCCGTTCTACATCCTCGTGTACGTCGACGACTTGGTCTTTGCCACAGCTGACACTGCTGGACTCGCCTACGTGAAGTCCGAGCTGCAGAAGAGACACACGTGCACTGACCTGGGTGAACTGCGCAGCTACCTTGGCTTGCAGATCACCCGGGACAGAGCACGCCGCACCATTACCCTGACTCAGTCACACATGGTGCAGCAGGTCCTTCAGCGCTTCGGCTTCACGTACTCCTCGCCTCAGGCCACTCCTCTGCCTACTCGCCACTCGCTCTCAGCTCTGCCTTCGGATGAGTCCGTAGAGTCGAGTGTCCCGTATCCAGAGCTTGTTGGCTGCCTCATGTACCTGATGACCTGCACACGACCTGACCTTGCATACCCTCTTAGCATTCTCGCACGCTATGTTGCTCCTGGGAGACACCGACCAGAGCACATGGCTGCAGCAAAGAGGGTGTTGCGCTACTTGTGCAGTACGTCGGGCATGGGTCTAGTGCTTGGAGGGCGGAGTCCAGTGGTCCTCACTGGGCACGCGGACGCCTCTTGGGCTGACGACCAGGCTACGCAGCGGTCGTCACAGGGTTACACTTTCAGTCTTGGTTCCGGCTCTGTTTCGTGGCGGGCTACCCGCTCGTCTTCTGTTCTCGGCTCCACTTGTGAGGCTGAGATCTACGCCGGGGCTATGGCTGCCCAGGAGTTTCGCTGGCTCACCTACCTGCTGACCGACCTTGGAGAGCTGCCTCGTTCTCCTCCAGTCCTGTACGTAGACAACAAGGCCATGCTGGCCTTGTGTCGAGAGCAGCGACTGGAGCACAGAACAAAGCACATTGCTCTCCGCTACTTTCTTGCTCGTGAGCTACAGCAGCGTGGACAGATGCGGCTTGCGTACGTGGCCTCTGAGGCCAACACTGCTGATGTCTTCACCAAGGCACTTGCGCCTTGTGATCATCAGCGCTTCTGCACTCAGCTGGGTCTTGTGCCTGTCTTGCCTCACTTGCTCACTTCTTGACCTTGCTTGTACTATCACATATATATACTCTTGCTCTTGCTTGCTTAGCCTCTTGTATATATATATATGTGATCTTGCATGTGAACTGGCCTTCTGGCCTTTGAACTTGTGCTCGGAATGTGTGGTGACTTTGTGATCCACCCTGAGCTTTGCTTTGCTTTGCTTGACTGGTCTTGTGACCCCTTGTTCTCCCCCACTTTGCCTATGGGGGTGTGTCAGAACATTATAGCTTATATATTTGTGTAGGCTATAGTGGGGTATCCCATAGGGGGTACAACCCAATCAGGGTTTCCTATATGTACTCACTTCATTCCTAGTTCATTCATTCTCGTTCTAGTTTCTTTCACACGTGGACCGCATTACGCCCAGACCTCTTGGGCGGGTTTCGACCCCGGTTCCGGATGCGGTCACCATGCCGATGGCGCCAAAATGCCGTCGTTTTCTGAGTTGCTGGTGAACACCGCCATTGAGAGATTTGCTCCAAACCCTTGTTTGGGGGTAATTACCTCCGCGGTAACACTCATTGCGCTCGATCGCGCGCGAAGTAAGCCACGTGTCCAAATCGTAACAGAGGTATCCTCTCATCGCCACCGTGGTAACCATCATGCCAAAATGGTCAACATTATTGCCTGAATGGTAATGAACAGTGCATCCGGAATTCCTGGCTAGTAACTTTGCGTTTCAACCAAACTGTACACCGTACAAGTAGGGTTTGAGTTAGCGAAAAACAAAACTGGTGTTTCACGTATGTTGCGATCAGAAGTTGATCGTTCTTAGGATCACCTCAAGAAGGTTCGCACACTACTGAGTGGTGGTGGGCCCTTGACCTCAATAGCAGAATGAATGTAAAATGCTTGAGATGATAAAAAAAACATGCACAAGGATATAAATATGAGTACAGGGAAGATGAATCGACCTAGCTAGCCATGTACTCTAAGGGGTACATTCCCTTATTCAAATTCATTCCCAACGTACAGTTACGAAAACTGTTCCCGCCTGAACCCTCCTGCCTGCTGTTAAAGTTTAGAAGAGAGAAGAGATAATTGAACTAGCAAGAATGAGGATACAAATAGCAAACCCTAGAAGGGTTGTACTCGCTATAGAGCACCCCACTACAGGCTAGAGCATAAGATAACATTCTGACACACCCCCATAGCCAAAGTGGGGTGTAATCAGCAGAGGAAGCAAAGCAGTACAAGCTCAGGGTGGATCACAATGTCACCACACATTCTGAGCAC